AGGGGGTCCAGCAGAAAGAGGGTGGTGCAATAGATTTGGGCGGTTGTATTGCAAACGCGTTGCGCCGGAGAACTGTGTTGCGTTATACTGCAGCGAATGCACCGCACGCGGGAGCCCAGCAGAACATGTAGCTCTTCAGGGCCCCCCCCCGCGGCGCGCCACAGCGAGGGCGGCACGGAAAGGCGGGGGGCGTCCACGAGGACTCTTCGGCAGGCGACCGCCGTCGCCCTGCCGCCTTCTGATCGCCGCCCGCGGTCCCTGGGAGAGGGACGGCCGGGGCCGGGCCCAGCTGAAAGGCTGGGCGGTCTCACTCGGCGTGCCCTTCAGCGTCGCCTCCCTGGAGGCCTGCGCGCACGCCCGCGGCTCCTGCCGCAGCGCGGCGAGCTCCTGCCTGGCCAGCGCCAGGTCGATGGAAACCCAGCAGTACACGTGCGCACTGGAACATATAGCACGCCCCAGACCCACGGCAACCCCACAAATCTATTGCACCAGATCTATTGCACCACCCCCTTGTCGCTGGACACGCTTTTGGGTCAACCAGAACATCGGATCGTCGGAGCATCGGAATCGAGTCGGAAAGGTCCGGCCGAGATCGATATCGAATCGGATCGAAACACGCCTTTCCCCCCTGGGCCGCATTGGGCCAAAAAAACGTTGTTTCATGAATATGCAGATGTCGGGGCTCATATGTGGCCATCTTGCCAACTGTAATGGGCCTCCTGCGGGTCTTCTTCTTTTTGTTTGTGGTGTGCAACTGCGGCTTGCGGTTTGCTGTCCCACGCCTCGCGCCCACGCGGCGCGCTCCCTAAAAACTGTCAAGAAAAATGGGCGGCCTGCCCACAGCCCACCCGGGGCTCAGTTAAACAGGTAGCTGGAGAACAGCACGGACAGGATGCAGATGGCAGAGGAACAAAAAGCTGCGCAGTAGGAGGAGGAGGAGGAGGAGGAGGAGGAGGAGAAGGAGGAGGAGGAGGAGGAGGAGGAGGTAGGAGGTAGGAGGTAGGAGGAAGAGGAGGAGGAGGTAGGAGGTAGGAGGTAGGAGGAGGAGGAGGAGGAGGAGGAGGAGGAGGAGAATCATAAACTTTCGGAGGTCCGCGCGGACTTGAGCCCGTGCAGGACCCCCCCTGCAAGGCGCGCAAAGGTGCACCGGGGGGGCGGCGCAGGAGGCGCCGCTGGGGAAGGTTAAGCACCGACCCAAGAAGTCCGCGCGGAACTCCGAAAGATTGTTGATGGGCCTGTGTCCCACCACCACCACCACCACCATAAGTTGGAGGGGGAGGCGGAGGAGGAGGAGGAGGATGAGGAGGAGGAGGGGGAGGAGGAGGAACCCCTCCCCCTCCATCTTATGGTGGTGGTGGTGGTGGAAAACAGGCCCATCAGTTGTGGCCATGCCGCTTTCTCTTCCTCTGGATGGTAAGCAGGCCCCAGTAGAGGGACGTGCGGTTGAGGTCGACCGGGAGCATCTCCTCTTGGCATGAAGGGAGCGGAACCTCAGGGAAACGCGTGTCCTGGAACCGGGGGCCTTCCCCCAGGACGAGCTTTCCGTCCCGGGCACATGTTTGACGGCCCCGGGGCCCGGGAAGGGTACCGAGAGTCCGAAGACGGCGAAAGAACTCAGGACACGTTTTGAGAGGGAACGTTCGGAGGGGACTGGCTCAAAAAGAGGGAGCACCGAGCTGGAATCGGCGATACATCACTGATAGATCGGCGATATGCCCCCGATTGCGAATCCGAGCATTTCTGGGCGGGGTGGGCTCTCGGGCCCCTGTCGGCGATGAACAGGCGGTTTAGGTTCGATGTATTCCCCCCCTGAGCCTGTCCTTAAGTCGGGCATGTCCTCCTACAGGGGATTTTCGACGAAAAATAAAAAAATACCCCAAAAATAATCCAATAATAATCCAGAAATAGTCTGGGGACTATTTTGTGTATTTGTTTTACCATGTTGGGGTATGTTTGGGGTATTTTTTATATATTTCGTCGAAAATCCCCCTGTAGGGGGACAGGCCCGACTTAAGCCTATCCCCCCCTAACGTTGCCCCTGAAAGGCCCCGAGAGCCCGAGAACGACGAGAATCTCGGGACCCTCAGCACCCGCTTGCTCCGAGGCCACGCCAACGGCGGTGTTGCTTCACGGCGATGTTGGGAACCAACTTGTAGGACATCACGATCCCCACGAGGAGGAGGAGGAGGAGGAGGAGGAGGAGGAGGAGGAGGAGGAGGAGGTGGAGGCAGGAGGAGGGGAGGAGGAGGAGGAGGAGGAGGAGGAGGAGGAGGAGGAGGAGGAGGAGGGAGGAGGGAGGTGAGGAGGGAGGGAGGAGGGGAGGAGGGTGAGGGAGGAGGAGGGAGGAGGAGGAGGAGGAGGAGGAGGAGGAGGAGGAGGAGGAGGAGGAGGAGAAGGAGTCCTACATTCCCAATATGCATATGTATCGAACGAACACGACACGGCGAGCTGTAGGAAAGCACGAGCTGCGCGTTCCCACGGTGCCGAACCCTGCATCGCCGTCGCCTACGTCGCCGTGAGCGTGCCTACGGTTGCCTCATGGTTCGACTGGCTTTCGGGTCATACCTGAGGTCTCTGGCGGCCTTCGGAACGCTCGCGGCGAGGCGCAGCCTCTCCGAAGAGCATCCCGCGGCTGGGAGAGCGCGCCGGAAACGCACGAAATCGCCCGAAGACTCCGCACCTCGAGCTCCCTTACCGCGGGGCCCGCCCGCTTCCCGGCGGGCCCGAGCACGCGCACGACGACCCAGCCCCCCAGAAACAAAATCTACAGGGCCCACTCCCCTCAGGGAACCCCTTTCTCCGTGGCGGCTCTTGGGGATTCCGTCCTGGGGTCGTCTGCGTGAGCCACTCCGGGCGTGCCGATCCGACGCAGAGGGACCCCTTCGATTGCGGTTTCGACGTGCTGGGGTGACGTGCAGTTCGCAGCCCCCCAACAGAAAAGGCACGAGGAAGGGGGGCAAGCAGGCAGGAGGCAGGAGGAGGAAGGAGGAGGAGGAGGAGGAGGAGGAGGAGGAGGAGGAGGATAAGGAGGAGGAGCAGGAGGAGGAGAGGGATGAGGAGGAGATGGAGGAGGAGGTGGAGTAGGAGGAGGAGGAGGAGGAGGAGCGTGGAGGAGAGGATGAGGAACGGAAGAAGGAGGAGAGGAGTGAGGAGGAGGAGGTGGAGGAGGAGGAGGAGGAGGAGGAGGAGGAGGAGGAGGGAGGAGGAGGATAAGGAGGAGGAGCAGGAGGAGGAGGAGAAGGATGAGGAGGTGACTGGAGGAGGGGAGAAGGAGGAGGAGGAGAAGGAGGTAGGAGGTGGAGGAGGAGGAGGAGGAGGAGGACGAGGAGGAGGAGGAGGGGTGGAGGAGAGAGGAGCAGGAGAAGGAGGAGGAGGGGAGGAGGAGGAGGAGGAATAGGGGAGGAAGAGGAGGAGGTGGAGGAGGAGGGTGGGAAGGAAGAGAAGGAGAAGGACGATGGTGGAGGAGGAGGTGGAGGAGGAGGAGGTGGATGGAGGAGGGTGAAGAGGGAGGAGGAGGAGGAGGAGGGAGGAGGGAGTGAGGGGGAGGAGGTAGGAGGAGGAGGAGGAGGAGGAGAGGAGGAGAGGAGGAGAAGGAAAAGAAGGAGGGAGGGAGGAGGAGGAGGTGGAGCAAGAGGTGGAGGAGGAGGAGGAGGAGGAGGAGGAGGAGGAGGGAGGAGGAGGAGGAGGAGGAGGAAGAGGAGGAGTAAGGAGGAAGAGAGACAGGAGGAGGAGGAGGAGGAGGAGGTGGAGGGAGGAGGAGGAGGAGGAGGAGGAGGAGTAGGAGGAGGAGGGAGGAGGAGGTGGAGGAGGAGGGGAGGAGGAGTGAGGAGCTGGAGGAGGAGGAGGAGGAGGATGAGGACGAGGAGGAGGAGGAGGAGGTGGGGAAGCAGGAGGAGGAGGAGGAGGAAGAGGAGGAGGAGGCGGAGGAGGAGGAGGAGGAAGAGGAGTAGGAGAGGGGGAGGAGGAGGAGCAGAGAGGAGGAGGAAGAGGAAAGAGCAGGAGGAGCAGAAGCAGACCCAACGAGAACCCCAGGCAGGGAGGCCAGGAAACACCTCGGGACCCGCCCGCTTTTCACGGCGCGCCTCGTTGGGCTTCGGCTCGGGCAGCGCCCTCAGCACCACGGCCGGCGCCACCCCGTCGGCCGCCGCGCCCGCCGAGGCGCCGCGCCCGGCGCGCAGCGCTGGCTGGGGGGCAGCGAAGCCCTGAGGCAACCACATGTGAGCCCTTAGGCAACCTCCTCCTCCTCCCTCTCCTCGATGTCCTCCTTGTCGTCCTCCTCCGTACTCCTCTTCTCCTCCTCTCCCTCCTCATTCTCCTCCTCGTCCTCCTTTCCACCATCCCTTCGTCGTCCTCTTGGTCCTCTGATCCTCCCCCTCCTCATCCTCCTCCTTCTTCTCCTCTTCTTCCTCCCCTGTACATCTCCTTCCTCCTCCTTCCTCTCCTCCTCCTCGCTCTCCTGCCTCCTCCTCTCCTCCTCCTCCTCCTCTTCGCTTCTCTTCCTTCCTCCTTCTTCTTTCTCCCTCCTCTCATCATCATCGTCCTCCTTTTTTTTCCTCCCCTCTTCTCCTCCTTCTACTCCTACTCCTCCTCCTCCTCCTTCCTCCTCATTCCTCCCTCTACCTCCTCCCTCCTCCTCCTACTCCTCCTCCTCCTCCTCCTCCATCTCCTCCTCCTCCTCCTCCATCTCCTCCATCTCCTCCTCGTCCTTCTCCTCCTCCTCCTGACCCGTGGGCTCTTCGGAGTCGTGCTTCAGACGGGTGGTGAATTCAAGCGTAAGCAACGTAGAAGTCTCAAGATATCAGGCCAGCTTGTTAGGTGATCACCTCGCTCCTGCGTCCGTGGAAAAGGTCCATGCCGACTAATTGGCGAGTTTTCGAGGGATGGTTTGGCAGTTCCCCACTGTCGAGCGTCCTCGGGACCCAGGCCCCAGCATGGCTGTGGGGCAGAATGATCTGCACTCCCCTGCTGTTGACGATGCCACCTCTCTGCCCTGCTTCTTCATCCCACCGTCCATGTGGGAATCGTGTACGGCCCAAGCTTCTTGGCACTCACATTCCCATCACGATGTCTGCAACCCCATAAGACGATCTCTTTCATGCAAGACAGGAGTCAGGCACATCCTGCCAATCAAAGGGGTGCTTCGGGCGATGGGTGAATACAGCCGAGAGGGCGATCGCCAGTCATCACGGCTTGGATCCACCGCTTCGGTCCCGAGCCCAAGCAGCTGCACTCGAGGTTGGCCCAGTCAAGGTGGCTGCCCATGTACGATCTCAGCCGCTGCACGATGGCATCGCAATTTTGTGAAGCCGAGGACACGCAGTGATCAGGCAAGCTTCACAGCAAAGGCGGCGTCGCAATGGCGCCATTCATATTCCGCAATTCGCGAGAGCAACCCAAATGCCTCGCTGATCAATCTCTCAACGGTGCTGGATTGAATTTCGCTGGTGGCTTGGGTTTGTCATGGCAGTTGTTTTTCTGTTGGACGGGTGGCAGTGGGGGGCGACCCAAATGTGGGGTGAAGAGAAAGGCCCCGAGAGGGGCCCGTTGGGGCCTCTCCGGGGCACCCACTGGCTCCGACTGGGGCCCTCAAGGGTCCCTTCTAGGGCCCTTTCTCTTCACTCCCCATGTGGGCCACCCCCAAGCACCACCCGCCCGATCCTGAGCTCTAGGCTTCGATCGGGCATGTCCTCCTGCAGGGGGATTTGGGAGGAAAGATGAAAAACCGTCAAAGACCATCCAAACATAGTCAGACATAATCGAAGCATCGTCCCCTGATTTTTTAAAACTAATCGAAACATCGTCCCCAGACTATTTGTGTTGACTGTTTTTGAATACTCCTCCTGCAGAGAAACATGCCCGATCCTGAGATCCAGGCGTCGGCTTAACGACCTTGGCGTGGCCGAGCTCGCGGCACGCGAGGAGGGGGCCTGCAAGCCAGCGCGGCGAGCTCGGGACAGAGCGGCACCCTCCTCGCTGCGGGGCTTTCCGATCCTGGGCAGGATCGGTTGAGAGTCGGGCATGCCCTCCTACAGACGGATTTTGGACGAGAAATGAAAAATACCCAAAATGATACCAGAGAAAAACCCAATCATAATCTTTTTAGGGCTGTAGGGCTACAGGGCTACAAGGCTATATGGGCTCTTGGGCGCTATATGGGCTATATGGCTGAATGGGTTATAGGGCTACAGGGCTATAGGGCTATAGGGCGATAGGGATATAGGGCTATAAGGCTGTAGAGCTACAAGGCACCGGGCACCCGGGCACCCGGCACCCGGCACCCGGGCACCCACCCGGGCACCGGGCACCCGTCACCCGGGCACCCGGGCACCCGGGCATCCGGGCATCCGGGCATCCGGGCCCGGCCACCGAATCGGCGGCGAACCCGGGCACCCGGGCACCCGGGCAACCGGGCCCGGCCACCGAATCGGCGGCGAACCCGGGCACCCGGGCACCCGGGCACCGGGGCACCGAATCGGCGGCACACCTCACCTACCCTTAAATCCGCTGGGACCCCTGCAGAGGCAAGCTCTGATTGGGGAACATATTCAAACATATCCAATATATACACATATATATATATATATTATGGATAGATTCAACAAATCGTCCCCAGGCTATGTTTGGACGATGTTTGAACACTCCTCCTGTAGAGGGACACGCCCGACTTAACGCCATTCCCAGATCGATCAAAGATCAGGCACCAGAGGAAGACGAGCTGCAGCTGCATGCCGATGGTCGGAGGCCGGTCCGTCCAGAGGAGACTGCGGAGGGCGAGATGGGCAAGTGGCACCACTTGTGGTTTCTCTCGGTGCCGGGGCTCGATGATATCACGAGGGCGTGCGACACGATCGGGGAGCACGCAGCCGACCAGCCATAACCGGGGGAGCTGTGGTCCTTACCCCCCTGGGGGAACCCATCGCATCGACGATCTCAGCTCCCCCACAGCTCCCCCGGTTGTGGCTGGCCTGAGCGGAAATCGAACATTTAGAACCTTGGCCAATCGGAAAGACCAGCCTTGTCTTGTTGAAGATGGTGCCCCGCGCCGGCCAAGGATCGGGCCGTCGTCGTCGTCGTCGTCGTCGTCGTCGTCGTCCGCGTCGTCGTCCACGTCGTCGTCCTCGTCGTCGTCGTCGTCGTCGTCGTCCGGGCGAAAGGGGGGGATAGCAAAGGGGGGGTTTGAGAATCAGCTCACGTGGCTGATTTTCCCGGCGCCTCCCGGCGCCGGGAGGCGCCCATGTATCGAGGAATGGGCCCAGCGGCGGGGCCGAAACCAGCTGCACGCAGCAGATTTCGTGACCCCCCCATTTCCTTATCCCCCCCCGTCGTTCGGCCCGAGAAGGAGTGGACAGGCGCTCTCCTCTGGACTTCGCCAGGGCTACCAGATCGGCCAATCCAGGAGGTGAGCAACCTGTTCACAACGATCGAAGAGCGTATCGGCGTGCCGTGGCAGGTACTGCGCGCACGCGGGCGCTCGCTCGGGAAGAGGTCAGGTGGGGAGAGGTGCATGGGCTTGCTGGGCATGCTGTGCAGGGTGTGGTCGCTCGCGCGCGAACCTCTCGTGCGCGGATGGGCAGACCAACAGGACGACTGCTGGGACGCGGTCGTCGCACGGAACAGCGCCTCGCGGGAGGCGTTCGTGAGGGCGCTGGGCGCTAGGGGGGCGAGGTCCGGACCTGCCCCCGCTGGCCCCACGGGCAGGCCCTCCTCGACGTGGAGGCCGTCTACGACGGGATCGAGTGGCCCATCCTCGCGGAGTGCGCGATCAAGAGAGGTTCTACTCCTGTGGTGCTGTTCTTGGAGGTGCAGCTTCTCGTGGCGCAGAGGATGCGGTCCCAACTAGATTCGTGTTCGCTACCGTTTCGGGCCACCAAGTCGGTCATACAGGGATCGAGGTGTGGCACCAGGTTCGCCAAAGGTCTCACGGCGGTCGCTTGCAAAGAAGTTCGCCATTGCACACCCGTCGATACTGGAACGGATTTGGATAGATGACTTGCTCGAGCACGTCTCGGGCAGTCGTGAACATGTTCGGAGTACGTTGGTGAAGTCTGTGGTCTTCACGGTCAAGGAGTTTCGCAAGTCAAGCTCGGCATCGCAGCGAAGAGCGTGGTGGTATATTCATGTCATCCGGGTGCATTCAACGTTGCTCGTCGGCTTAAGCGGAAATGCATAGGTATCAAGTCACCCATGCAGTCGTGTTTCAGGTATTGAACCGCAGAAGGGTGAACAAGTCAGGGGTCGCACATCAACGGCTCCAACATTTCGCATTGGCGGCGAGGAGGTGGACTTTGATTAGCAAGAGCTAAGAGGACGGGCCCACAAGCCTCGGCAGCATACGGTCATCAGATTCCTGGGAGTGTTGGTTCGTTGATGCTCGATCACAGTAGGAGGTGAGGCTGCTGCAGGATCTGCACAGAGGGGGGGTGCTTGACGTCAGCATTTGCACTCCGCCTTCCAGGAACGGACCCAGATGTGGTGCTACTCGGGTGGTGCCTCAGTCAGTGCCTCGACTCTTGGCTGCGCGAAGCTCGCCTACGAGATTCGGTGGCCTTAGCGTGGAAGAGGGCGGTGGCGGCTCTCCGGGATGTTCCTGCCGGACAGCGCAGTCGACACGTGCGAGGCCAGATGTCTTCTGCTGTGCTGTATTTAGTCCAGGCTGGGTGCGTCCCAACGTCGGCGACGGAGCGACAGGTGCCGAGTGACGGGAGCAACGTGGAGCAGACCTAGGAGTTCTCCACGGATGCCGTCGTTGGCCTGGACCAGGCGCAGCCGCGTCTCGACGAGTTCGAGGACACCTTGGGACCACAGTTATGGCAGGAGGCTGCTGGGCTGTTCTGTGGAGGCGGCCTCGAGCAAGGAGTGGACTGGATGAGCTACCGCAACTACGTGCTGTCCCTACTTCACGCAAGACGGATCGCCATCAGTAGGTACTGGACTCAGCAACGGAAGAAGGAGGCCAAGCTGACGGACTCGGACGTGTGTGAACAGTGCGGTGAAGGTCCAGACACACGTGTTCATCGTAATTGGTTACGCAATAAAAACAAGGGGTCACCAGCGTGTGAGCAGTCGGACGGTTTAGTTACCGAGGCTATCGCCGAACAGGACAGCCACACGTGCTTCTGGACTAGAGGAGCGATTCCTTCTGAGTGGACGCGCGTTGCCCCGCCAGCTAGCGTTGAAGCTTGGTGTCGGGGGAAACCAGGTCCAAGGGTGCCTCGGTACTGGATGCATTGGCCAGGGGTCCCAGGACCAACCCCTGCTCGTTTTCGGTGACTCCTCGGGAGGCAAGGATACTCATGATAGTAGGCTCAGGCATGTAGGAAGTGCTGTAGCTGTATGTCAAAGCTTTTCTTCCTGCGCCGTGAGCCCACACTTGTTTCGGCCGTTGGCAGGGCATACCCAAACGGTCCCCAGAGGTGAGTTGCAGGCCATTGAATGGTCTTCTCGGTGTTCGCTCGGTCCTTTAATGCATATCACCACCGGTTGTGCTGAAGTAGCCAGGGGGTGGTAATTACGCAGGTGCCGCGCGAGCCCCAGAGGGCCCACTGACCGACCTGTGGCACAAGGTGGACTCACTCTTGTGGAGCAGGGGCGAAGCGAGTCAGAAGTGGTTGTGCTGCAGATTCCCTCACACCTCACGGCACGAAAGGTCGTTGCCCAAGGGTGGGACATTTGGCCCATCCAGAGAAATGCTTGCGTGGATGTTTTGGCAGGAGCTGCGGCCGACGTGGCCAGAGTCCCCCAAGTAGACAGGTTCAGAATGCACCGAACGGAGCGTAAAGCTAGGCTTGTTATCGGCGACCGAGGAATGACATAAACAGAATGACTCGGAGGTCCGCGCGAATTGCTCGGATCCGCGCTGGACCAACCTCCCTGGCGCGCGCGCAGCGCGCCACGGGCGGCGCCGGAGGCGCCGCCAAGGGGGTCCAGCACGGACCCGAGAACTCCGCGCGGACCTCCGAGTTTTTATGTTTGTGTCATTGTGGGAGTGGATTCGGTGCAGGCCTCCCCGGACCCCACAGCGGGGCGCGGGGGCCCTGAGGCCCCCCTCGCGGCCCTCCTGCTCCTCGTCCTCCTCCCCCATGAGAATCTGGCTCAGGCCGATTTTGGACGAAAAATAATAAATACCCAAAAAGTACCCCAAAAATGCTCAAACATACTAAGAAATAGTCCCCAGACTGTTTTTTTACTATTTTTGAATATCCCCCCTGTAGAGGGACAGGCCCGACTTTATGCTTTTCGCGCCTGCCCACACCCCGACTGAGAATGGCAGAGCGTGCTCGGTGTGCTTCAGCGCTGCTTCGAAAGATAATAGGGGAACGAAGAATGGCATAAACATAAAAACTCGGAGGTCCGCGCGGATTTCTCGGATCCGCGCTGGACCCTCCTGGCGGCGCCTCCGGCGCCGCCCTTGGCGCGCTCCGCGCGCCAGGAAGGGGGGTCCAGCGCCGATCCGAGAAATCCGCGCGGACCTCAGAGTTTGTATGTTTATGCCGTTCTTCGTTCCCCTAGGCAAGGATCCCGAATGGCTAAAAAGTGCTTGCGTCCTCCCTCTCCCTGCGAATTCCAAGTAATCCCGAGTCCCGATCGGACGGAGTTTACACTTGGCAGGTGGCTGGACGCGTCCCTCACACGCCCTTCGCTATCACAAAGACCGTGGCGTATGGTTTCGTGGGCCGTGCAGATTTTTCGGTCAGGCCCAGCTCAGGGGCTTGGGTAATCCTTGTCGCCCCCACTGAATCACCAAGGCAAGGCGCAAATACTTTGACAGGATCGATCGCGACCTGTTTCCCAAGAGCTGAGCTCAGCCTTCTATCACTGCGTGATGGCGGAAATCCTCCTCCTCCTCCTCCTCCTCGTCCTCCTCCTCCTCCTCCAAATCCTCCTCCTCCTCCTCCAAATCCTCCTCCTCCTCCTCCTCCTCCTTCGTCTCCTCCCTCTCCTCCTTCTTTTCCTCCTTCTTTTCCTCCTCCTCCTCCTCCACCTCCTCCTCCCTCGGGCGCTGCCAGAGGCTCGAGGATCGGGATGGCGTAATCGAGGATCGAGGTCCGCGGGAGCAACCACATGCAGGATCAATCAGCTGCGAATCGGTGCATCGGATCGAATCGGAAGGTAAGCCGGATCGGGCCACATCGGCACGGAGCTGGCATCGGAGCCGCGCTAAGATGCACAACAACGCCATGCAAACAGCAGGCCGTATCGGATCGTCGGAATATCCGAATCGGATCGGATCGGGCTGGCCGGAATCGACATACTCGGTGGCGCGCCCAAGGGAAAAATGAGAAGGGACAGGCCTTCCCACAAGGCAGCGGACTTTCTCGGAAGCCATCTGGCCTTCTGAGAAGCCGCCCGTGTCTTCGAAGGAGGCTCAGAAAGCTTCGCGGGAGGCTGGAGGCCCTCCGAGCCTTATGAGAAGGCCCGCCCATTCTGCATTCGCCCCCTGAGCTCGCCGCCTAACCACACGTGAGCCCCACCCCTGCAGATCAGGCTTCGGAAGAAACTGGACGCATGAAAACCGCCCCCACGCCCCGCACAAGAGGAACTTTACACCGACTAGACCGCGCGCGCGGGCCCCCCGCGGCAGCTGGCAATGGCCTTGCTTACACGGCGCCTACGCTTGCGCACATTCGCCATACTTGCAAAACGTTGACATGTAAAATCCATTGTTGTGGGGGCTGGGGTCTTTTTTCCACTGTTCAGAAACGGCCAGGGATCAGAATCTGAAGGGTGTCTGCAGCCAGCCGCACCCCGGCGGCGGTGTCCCATACCTACAGCGTCGACCGAACCCGCAAGGGGAGGGTGCGCCAGTGGGCATGTTCTCCGACAGGAAGATTTTGCATGGAAAATATGAGATAATCAAAAATACCCAAACAAAAAATTGACAACAAATGATGGAAGAATCGTTCACTGACTGCTTTTTGCCTATTTTTGAATATGCCTCCTGAAGGGGACTTGCCCGACTTGACGCCAGTGGTCGCTGACCTGCGGCGCCGCGGGCGCGAGCACGCTGCTCAGCAGCCACGCGGCGGCGGCGGCGAGGCAGATGGTGAGCAGCACGGGGCGGCGGGCGGCCATCGATCACACCTCGGGCGGACTCGGCGGCCGTCTCTGGCGGTGTGTCGCCCCTGGTGGGCCTCCTGGGGGCTCCTTGTCGCCACGGCTGGATCCGCCTCGAAAAACGGGTTGGGATGGTAGAGGAACAAGAACTATGCACATACACCGATTCTGGCCAAGCCCATCCTGAGCCCAGGATCGGTGCATACGCCCTCCTACCTTGGCCAGGAAGGCATATGCACCGATCCTGGGTCAAGGATGGGCCTCGCCAGGATCGGTGCATGTGCATAGTTCTCGTCGCCCGAGATGGACTCTGGGAAGGGTCTGGTGACCGATTCTGAGCGGAGGGGCCTGGGCGGGAGGGCGGCCGTTGCCTCAACGGCCCTCCTCCGAGAAGCCCCCCCGTCTTCTGACAATCCTCATGGGCCATGGGCCCCCTTCTGCGTCGAGCTCCCTGGCTACGCGCAAGAGTGGCTGGCCATGGGCCAGGTCGGGCGTGTCCTCCTACAGGAGGACTTAGGAGGAAAAACTAAACGTAGCGAGGAAATAAGCAAAGATGATCGGAAAATCGTCCCCAGACTATTTTTGGACTATGTTTGAATACTCTTCCTGTAGAGGGACACGCCCGACTGAAGCCATGGGCAAGAGTGACCTTTGGCGTGCGGCCTGCCCGTCGTGGCGTGCGGCGCGGCGCCGGCGGCAAGCTCCGTCGGGGCTCTGGTCTCCCCGCGCCAGCCCGGAAGCTGCGCACCAGAGGCCACTCTGGCGAAGGCCCTCTCTTGCGTGTAGCCTTAGGTCGGGCATGTCCCCTGCAGGCGGATTGTGGACGAAAAATAAAAAATAGTTTAACAATGCTCAAAAATAGGGATGAATAACCCAAAACAACCTCCCCAGACTTTTTGTATGTCTTGACTATTTTTGAATACTCCTCCTGTAGAGGGACAGGTCCGACACAAGTGTAGCCGAAACGGGGGGGGGGGGGGGCAGCAAGCAAAGGGGGCCACTGTGGACACGGGAAAATGGCTTCGCAGAGGAGCCCTGAGCTGCCGGAGAGGCTTCGGGAAAACGACTGCCGGCCCGGCTTCGGGAGGCGCTGGAGAGGCGCACCCTTCTTCACCCCGCCTTTCGCCCACCGTCGCCTTCCGGCTGGCAAACTGACGGGGGGGGGGCCTGGTCAGGCTCGGAGCGCCTGCAGCGGGGCCTTGGGCCAAAACAGCTGCAGCCAAGATGGCGTTCGCCAGAAATGGTCAGGAATCCTGCAGGGTGGTCTTTGATCGGTTGCCTTCATCCGATCTTGGAGCCGTCCTCGACTGCTCTGGCGAACGCAAAGTATCTTCCAGCTTGCTCATGAAACACAGCCCCCACCTTGTGTCATCACGCCTCAGCCGGCACAGGGAAAGGACACGCACTGCCACGACACATTGTCACCCCCACGACAGCGCTAAGCAAGCCTGATGCTCGCTGCCCCTCGAAGCATCTTGAATAATGGTCTGAACTTGCAAATGTGCGTCCGGCCCCTGGTCATATGCTCAGCCTCGTGCAAAACAGCAAAACGCAACGAGCCCGACATGCGCCCATTTGTTGCTCCAGGTTCTTACGCCTACCGAGCTTAAGACGGAAATGAAACTACTTCAAGGACCCTTCGCACATCCTCCCCCCGTCATCGTCGCAATGTTCGCCGCTGCCGTTGCCAAACTGGTCGTCGTCGAACTGGGCACGTCGACGTCAAGCTGGCCGCCGTCGTCGCCGGACTGGTCGCGCCGCCGCCGCCGCCGCCATCACGAGTCATGAGTCGTCCTAGTCGTGAATCGTCGCTGTCGTCGCCGAGCTGGCCGTCGAGTTGATCGTGATCGCCGCCGCCACGGCATCGTCGCAAAGCCGCGCGCAGGGTGTAGGAGGGCGCCACCTGTACGCCTACACCGATCCTGGCCAGGCCCATCCTGTGCCAAGGATCGGTGTGTATGCCTTCTTCGCTTGGGCAGGCATGCATATGTACACAGATCCTGGGCCCAAGACCGGCCTGGCCAGGATCGGTGTACCCGTCGGTCCGACTTTTCCCATCCGCGGCCCCAGAGGCCCCGACCGCTTCCCCGGGGATTACTCTCCGATCGGGATCGGTTCTTGATGGTCCCAGAGCCGCTGACGGGCCCCCGAGGCCAGAATCGAAGAAAGACGCCCGGCTGAAACGGTCAGATCGTCTGAGATCTGCGCAGAAAGCAGAGCCCCACTCACTCGCCGAGCGCGTTCCACTGCTCGCAAAGTGCCTACGCGCAAAAGTCCGAACAAAAAAACACCGGTCTGCTTTGATGTAATGTATCGTAGATCCCCAGCGGGGGATCCAGGCCATTTGCGAGTAGTTACTTTGCGAATAAAGGAACGCGCTCGTCGATTCACGGAAGCTTCGGGTCATCGTGTTTCTTCTCTCGGCCCCGATCGCTCCCCCCACGAGGGGTACAGCTCACGCAGGGGGCCCTCCGTCTTCAGCGTCGGCGCGGGCCGGGGCCCTGCCCCTGCAGGGCACCGCGGCCCGCGGTGCGCCGCGGAGGGCTCAGGCGCGGCGCGCCCCCTGCAGGCCGAGAGCGCCCCGTGACGGCCTCTTCTCAGGCGTGCGCCGGGCGGGCGGCGGAGCGCAGCGCCGGGGCCGGCTCGGGCAGCCCGTGCGTGGCGACCTCGGCGGGGGGGCCGGCTGCTGGCAAGGCTCTGGCGCCGTGGTCGGGAGCCGTTGGTCAGCATGTCCCGGCGGCGGCCCCGGCGACACGCTATGCCCTGCGGGCACACAGCGCGTCGCTCCGCTCCGCGGGGCGGGAGGCTCGGGAAATACTCGGAACGTTGACGTTCGGAGACTGGGACGTGGATAGCGTGTCGCGCCCAAGCGCGATGGGCCAGAACCGGCGGAACGACACGCCGAGCCAAAGATCCCGGCCGCACGAGTTTTGTCAACCCTGCCGGTTTTTCCTCGATTTCGGCCTCTGGGGGGTGTTTTCCAAACGGCGGGACATCAAACATGGATCGAGGACGAAGAACCACCAGGGAAGCGGTAGGGACCTCTTCCTCCTCCTCCTCCTCCTCCTCCTCCTCCTCCTCCTCCTCCTCCTCCTCCTCCTCCTCCTCCCCCTCCTCCTTCCTCCTCCTCCTCTCTTCCCTTCCTCCTCCTCCTCCTCTCCTCCTCCTCCTCCTCCTCCTCCTCCTCCTCCTCCTCCTCCTCCTCCTCCTCCTCCCCCATCTTCCACAGTGTTTTGCCGATCCATCGCTATGTTGGGCAAAAGTTACTTTCAAGTTCACCGGTTCACGATGCTATTGTCGTTGATATTATTCTTCTCGATGCTCAAGGGAGCCGGAAAAGTTCCAGCTAATTGAAGAGCACATGGCGGGTAGTTCCGCTAAGCGAACCTACCCAAAGCAATGTAATAATGAGCGCGCATGTGTGCTGGCCGGCGGAGAGAGAGCAAGGCCGGGCGCACGCGCGTGTTCCGCTTCGAGCAAGTGCATGAATGCGGGGACATGCCAAACAGCTTTCGGCAGGCCCCGAGAGCGCTGGACAGACTTCACCCCTTCCCAAATGCCACTTTGGGCCCCCCACGGCGCCAACTCCCAAAAAGTTTTAGGGCACACGTGGGAGGGAAGGGAGTACTCCTGTCACCGCTCTACGGGACTAGCCAAGGGCCTCTTGGCACGCCCACCCTGAAGAAGATCGCACTGGCGCGCGCCGCCCAGCCGTCAATTCATAAGGTAACCAGCCCGTTGATTGGTGGTCTCGGCGCGCCAGCGAACTGGGGCCACGCCCCGTAGCGCGCAGGCCGCATGAATCACTGTCTCAACCTACCACCCTGGCCGGTGAGTCCGCAACCACTGACCGCTTAGATCATCACGTTCTGGATAGCGCTCTGGACGATACGCATCCTGACCGCCACGCTGAGCCCGCCAAGTCTGCCACTCAGTAGAACTCGAAGCTGGGGCCCAGAAAGCCCAGAGGTCCGCGGGGCACGCGCGCCACGGGGGCTGGGAAGACGCCGCTTCATTCTGCCACCCTCGTCCGCGGCGTCGATGCCACGGCGAGGCAGGCCACTCCTCAGCGGGCGCCTCAGGCACGCGCGTCGGCGCAGGCGGCGCAGGCGCCATGCGCAGCGCCAGCGCCCCGCGACGGGAGCGCCGGGCGCACCCGCATCGATGGCGGCGCTGCCTGCGTCGCGCGGAGATCGACCTCGGTCGGCCCGCGAGTCGTGATAGGGCCCCTGCGACGGAGCGCACGCAGAGGCACCCTCCGTTCCAGCTCCCATACGGCGGGCCCCCAAGCACGCCCACGCAAGGCCGTCTGGCGCCCAGGCGGCCCATCATTTCCACTGCGTTGGCGAACGCGCGGCGGGCCACGGCTGCCCCCGCGCGCCCTCGCCTTCACCGAACGGGGCCGAGGCGGGGGCGGTCTGTAGTCGCGACGAAAGCGGCTCGCAGAAGAGGGCCTTAACAGCGTCGCCGGGCAGAACCCCGTCGCCACCACTGCAGCCATCACGCGCCCCGCCCGGGAAACCACGAAGCGCCTCAGGGCCACGGTCCTCAGGGGGGGGCGGGGGGGGGCAATCGGCGCGCGGGCGATCCCACACGCAATCCCTCAGCTTTTCGAGGACAGGGCGATTGAATCCCAGACCCCCCCCCCTCGCACAAGTGTTACCACCCATTGGATGGAGCATTGGACTTCGCGCCTGACAAACGGATGCTGCCCCACATGGAGGGCGCCAGGTCGCCAAAAAATATCGCCGCCCAGGCGCGCATGAAAACCCAGGAATGGCCGCGATACATGCACGGGGACGACTGCATTCCAGTGGCTCGGGTCCCTCTGCACTCTTGATAATTTACCCAGCGCAGTCCCAATTCGCGGGCCTTTTTTTCCTCTGGCCAGTCTTGGATTTCCGCCGGGGAATCACGTTCAGGTGACGCGGGTCGCTGCGCAAGAACAGACATGAAGGTCAAGGTGAATGCGGCATTGCCCTGGAGAGCAAGCTTCCGACGATACTTCGCCTGATCAGATCGCTTCCATGTTGTTTCAGACTCAGACGCGCTCCTGTTCATAACCCGACCTTGGAAATACGTCCTCGGCCTCGCGGACGAAAGAAGGACACATGGCGTCTGAGTCAATCATCTGGCCCCTCACCTCCCCACGCCCCACTGTTTCCCATGGTGTCGCAGGCCCCATGGCAGATGGTGACCCAGGGTGAGGTTCGAAAAGAATGGGCTTCGAGAAGCGCAAGCAATGGGTCACCCCTAGCCGGATGCGGCATGCCTTCGAGCACACCAGATAGCCATCTGCCCAGGGCGCCGGCAAGATCATCACATGTTTGAAGTCTCTCGTCGCGAACGCAACGCCCGGATCACCCAGCTCGCGAAATGAATGTCTGTACTGGACATAGCCGACGCAACCTGAATTTGGGCTCGGTATAATCTAGACCCCGCCGAATCGCCGACCAAACACCGCGGTACACGACGCTGTCGAGACCAGCGTATCTGCTACTACTGTTTGCAGTCCACGATGAATATTGCCCCAATGGAGACGATGCTCAGTTCGAACAAGTCCGCTAGGCATAATCAAAAATCCCCAGTGATCGAGAATACGCGAAGACACGGTCGGCAGATAATGACCCGACAACTTGGCCGGCTTGCCAATGTCAAAGACTCGCGCGTCAAGGTCGTCGGCGGAGAACGCCCTAGCCCAACCATGCGGCCGAAGCCATCTTGGAAATTGACCTGGCTGGTCTTGGGCACCCCCCCTGACATCGCTGTCGGCAGTAAATTCCCCCATTCGCATTATCCTCGCCGATCGTCGTGACTTCGTCTTCGGGGCGGAGAAATATGCGACTTTACGGGGGTACCTGACACGGACCGGCACTGTCTTAGCCAATGAATATCTTTCTCTGGAGCAACCAACCTGTCAATCATTGATTGCAGGATGCTCGCGCGGGCGAGGCGGAAGACCGTCGTTGCGGGGACGCTCCCGTCAACGGGCCACAACGACAGCATACACGTTCCGGCTGGACTACCCTCAACGGGCGCCCCTGAGACGAGCGAAACACGATGGGTCGCACACCGGGCGGTCCATTGCCAGTTCCATAGGGGGCTCCGCCATCGAGGGGTCTCTCCCCCCCGAAGCTCTCTCGCCAGCGCGTGGGCTGAGCCGCCGCCGGTTTGTCATCGTCGACCGCTTTCACGCCCGAAACGTGGATTGATTTCCTGGGCAGCGCGCTGAGAGCACGCGACAATCGAGCCCACGGATAGCCAAATCCCCCATCAACAGGGAGGTCAACAACATACTCTGCTTCGATCCAGCCGCCTGAACTGAATACGTCAGTAGCACCTGCGCATGATCATCGCAATAATCGACGATCCCAAGCGCTTGGCCTCTTCTTCATCCGCGCCACTGAAGA